GGGGATGGGTCAATCAGTAGCCACATGTTCCTATTTCCTTCTGTGACCCTTTTTCCAAAGCTGCTCCCTCCTCCTCGTAGCCCTACACATACATACGTCAGGGACAGCCCCCCTCTGTTCTTCCTCACTGCTCCCTGACTCAGATGCCACCTGGTGGCCAACAGACCTCTCTAGTCCCTGCTCTGACTCCGAACACCCACCCAAAATCTTCCTCAGCCTCCAGGGCAGTCCCATAGTGTTCATCACTGTCAGATTCCACCAACAGCTCAGCCGGCCGTTGTTGGGCCTCACCATTTGTGGACTTCGATTCTCAAAATTCTCTAGCCAGCAGAACTGAATTCTGTTGAGTTGAAGTCCACAAGTTGCCAAGTTTGAAAACCTCTTCTCCATGCACTTGGGGATCCCCAAACAGTGAGGATTTCTTTCTTTCTTCCTTGTGAAGGCCCTCCCCCACAGCCCACTTTTGCTCCCAGGGGGCTGCAGGGAGGCTTTCTAGCTACCCCCAAGCCCTATTTTGGGCCTAGTAGGCCTCCCTGAAGCCCCCTGGGAGCCAAAACAGGTGCGATAGGGGGCACCCCCCCCCGCACCCTATTTTGGGCCTAGCAGGCATCCCTGAAACCCCCTGGGAGCCATAATGGAGCTTGTGGGGACTCCTGGGAGGGGGAAGGTAAGGTTGCAAGCTTGATGGAGACGGGGGGCAGCAAGCTCTGGGGAGGGGGGACTAGTGAGACTTACCTGTAGGCAGGAGGAGGCAGCTCAGTTGGGGCGCAGGGCAGACAGCATGTGGCAGCTTAGGCAGGCAAGCCACCTGAGAGGTGAGGATTGACTGGGTAGCGTGGGTGGGTGGGGCAAGAGACCAGGGAACCAGTTCAGGGGTATGGTAGGCCTAGGGTGCTGCTGGTTCCAGCAACCCAGGCCGCCAAATCACTACCAGTTCAGCTGAACTAGTTGGAATTGGTAGGAACCCACCACTGGTACTGTAGTTTGTATCTGGTATTGGAATATGATAAACAGCAATGTAGTTCTAAAAAGAGAATTGAGTGTCAGAATTTAGCTACAGATTGGCAAATAAAATGGTGAGAAGCATTATTAAAACAATATATTTTATTTATTTACTTTATTAAAACAATTATTTGGCTTCTATAAAGTTAGTACTCTTTCTTACACAGTGTTAAGAATTTTTTGAAGGGGTCAGGTATATGCATAAATAGAAATTAAAATAGAAATTATCTAATTATCCACAGAAATATGTAGTTAGTAAAACAATTCAATCAATTATAAATTGAAACTGTTAACAGTAAAAATAATCTCTGTTTATTTTACTTTACTTTTACTTTATAGTGAAAATACAAATTATGTATTACATCTTGGGGGAAATGTGTTAGGTCCCGAAAAGACTATATGGAAATCAGTAGATACTTTCTAATAGAAAAAATGTATACATTTTCTTATAGATTATTGATGATTCTGACATGCCTTCTGTTTTCCTAGGAATCTAAGGATCTTTTAGAGTATCATCAGAATTTGGACAAAAATTCTACAACTGCTGATAAAATGGTACAGAAATTGCAGCAACTAATTAAAGACAAAAATGCTGCCCTGGAGGTACTTGCAGAAACTTCTAGGAAAATCTCTTGATTATTAATTTTTGTTTATGTTTGGGATAGACTTTGAGGCAGTATGCTACTTTCCTTTCTATGTGGGATATAAGAATGTCAACTTATTTTTTTTTAATTAAGTGAGTCCTGTGTTTCTCTAATTTAGAGATGTGCAAGTCAGATTCAAAATGGAAAAAATACTGTTGAGGCATGATCAGTGGTGGGATTCAGAAAAGTTTACTATCGGTTCTGTGGTAGGCGTGGCAGGGGAAAGATAAAATCTCCATTGCAACCACATTCCAGGGGAAGGTTAATGCAAAATCCCCATTCCCTCCCAATCAGCTGGGACTTGGGAGGCAGAGAATAGATGGGGGCACTACCAGCCAGAGGTGGTATTTCCGGGTCTCCGAACTACTCAAAATTTATGCTACCGGTTCTCCAGAACTGATCAGAACCTGCTGAATACCATCTCTGATGAACATATTTACTGCAACTGCCAATGACGCCTTAAAGAAATTGCAGCTTGAATGGTACTGGTAGCTGCTTGATCCCAGGAAAATATGTATTTGCAACCTTCTCATATCAGTGTCCCCTTAAGCTGAATACATATTTTCCTTGAGCAGCCCTGCTATTATGGAAACCCAAGAAAAATGAAAGCTTATTTAAGAATGCCATAACAGTTACAGCAAGACCACAGTTTGAGTATTTAACTTTTTGCCTCTCTTATAGCAAGCTATACGGCAGAATAGCTCTGCACTTGAAGATAAAGAACAAGAAGTGAACCAACTTTATTTGTCCATAAAAGATCAAGATCATGATCTGAAAGGTCTACACCAAGTTATTTCTGGCAACCAAGTTACTATCCAGGTAAATTGCCACCATAAGGGTAGTGCTCTTGTTATTTTATAGGCCGAGTTTTCTAATAATTAGTGAGATTGAAAGTAAAATGCAGTTGTTTTTGACAACCATGTCTTCAGGGTGAATCAAAGAAGTTCACACCTAATACTTAATTTTTAGATCAGTTCTATATAGGTAAGTTGGCAGACCAGTAGTTTATCTATCCTGGCATTCCTATCCTGACTGTGACATTTTGCAAGATCTCAGTACTACCTAAAATTCCTTTTTACTACATATAAATTATCTAAGATTGAATAAAACTTTGTAAGTTAGGGAAGACAATCCAGTGTTCCTAGTTATTTTGGACTGAACTGCTATGAATGCCAGACAATATAGCCAGCAGTTAGGGATAGCAGAAGTCACAATCCAAAATAGTTAGGGGTGTTAAATCCCTTCTTCTGTTGTAAGAAATAGAATTGGCTGGGTATAGCATGTTTGCTTCATGGATAATTTATCCTTTATCCTAATATGATTGGCTTTAAAACTATTAAAAAATGGATGGAATTAATAGTGTTTTGGACTTCAGGAAGTTCAGAAACAGATTTGATTTGTCTTACTTTGAGCTAATTGTTATTCATGTTTACCTTAATAGTGTTTACAGAGCTTGCTAAAAGCCAAGGACCTGGAACTGGAGAAACTGTTAAAAGCCAACCAGAATTTGCAGTGGCTGATCAAGAATATAGAAGCAAAATCTCAGAAGTGGCAATCTGAACAAGAAAGGATTATCCAGAAGCTCCATGACAGGAACGAAGAAGTAGAGGTAAGACTACTTGTGATTCAGCTTGTTAGGAAAGAAGTTGAAGAGACAGGAATCAACAATTCAAGACTTGTGGAACAATTACGTTATCTTAAGATTTAGACCACAGTGGCTGGGATGTGTAGGATATATTATCCCATTTTGTTAAGTATATTTTGCAGTGGTGCAGATATAGTTTAGGCATTTTGTTATCTTTTTTTAGTATGCTGCTGATGGAACATATTTATTTTATTTATTTATTAGTTTGTCAAACATTGATTTGATTTGATTTGATTTGTCTTGTATGCCGCCCACTCCCGAAGGACTCCGGACGGCTCACAATAGACAAGGGAAAGGGGGGAAACTAGACAAAGACAACACTTTAAAAACAAAACCACAACATTCACAATTTCCGTGGGGCTGGATATTTCTTGAACGTCAGTTTGTCCTACAGCAATTATTTTGCATGTTTTGTCATTATTGAGATTGTTTAACGGGT